TTTTTCATTCCATTTGTGTTTAGCTATTGTTTTGAAGAAAGCAATGATGATCAAGAAGGGGAGTCGAGAGGCAAATGTAACCAGAGGAAATGTGATCGAGACACTTATGATTCTATCGGAAGATCTCGCACAAGTTGTTGCTAAGGTATCTGCAGATTTCCCTTTGCATCATCACATGCCAATATATGGCTTAAAACATTTTTCCACACATAAGTGCCAATATATGGCTTAAGACATTTCCCCCCACACACAATATTCCTCTTTACAGGGAATTACACATCCCACTGATCATATCACTGGATATGTAAAGGGTGATGACGGAGGAGCTGTAGTTGATGATATTCATTCTGCTGAGGATGTAGAGAGGGAGGTGGAGTCTTTAAAGCCTAATGAGCCCAATAGAATAAGGTTGGCTTCTTTGCAACATTTTACCACTTAAGCCAAAGGGTAGTCTCTAGTAGTATTTGAGATTCAAGGGCATAATATTGATGCTTTTTCTGCCATATTTCACTTATGATTTCTGATAGGACTCAAGAAAGCAAGAATAACGGGTTAACTGAGAATGGGGAGATACCTGTGGTTCACAAAGGGCAAATTGTAAGTACAAATGTACCAAACTACAATCAACTTATTCCACATTGATGATTGCCTTAGAGCATCCACATTTCTCTATCCAAATTCCAGATTATAAATACCATCCCCCCATTTTGGTCGCACCCTCAAGTATCCATTCTACAGTGGTTACAGCTACTCCCTGTAGAACTGTAGACATTGTTGATAGTATCCCTCTAACATATTCCCAATGTGGATGCTTTAATAAAGAATTCAGGATTTCATTTTTTCTGCATGCCTTGCAGTAATTTCATTCTCTAATGATTTGCAGCTGCAAGAAGTTCCAAGATCAAACACACATTGTGAGTATAGTTCATAGATTTTCTTTGCTATCATTCATTTGCAATTGTGATATGATGGATTTTCTCTATTCATATTCTCCACCATGGGTTATTTTCAACATGGGATAAATGTTCTCTCTCTTTTTGCAGTGCATGTGTGTAAATCTCAATCCAATGCTGAGTCAACAGCTAATGTGTGTTCTGACTCTCCCATTGTGTCATTTGAACAGAACATTAATGAACAGCATAGCATAGAAAACAATCAAAGTGCTGCTACTCCTCTATCTCGTGCTCTGAAAGATGGCACATCTGTTTCAGATGTCAAGTCTTCTAAAGTGCACCCGGATTCATCACATGTTCAACATGATCTAGTGCCTCCAAGAAATTCAATTTGTAACAAAGCTGCAAAGGTATCTTGGATGTTGTTGCTGTTTGGTCCATCTTGCTAGTAATTTAGCTTGTGTTTGTGTAGAAGTATTTGGCACCCAGTTCATAAATCATAGGGCACTGCAATTTAATTTTTGAGTCTTATCCTTCATGCCAGGAGTCTAAGCTCAACCCAGGGGCCAAGATATTCCATCCATCACTTAGTAACCAAAGAGCTGTTAACCCTCCTGCAATGCCAACAATGGCTTATGTGCCGGAGTGTTGTAACACGGTACCTGTTGCTACTGCCGGACCTGAACTTGAAATCAGTCCATTTGCTCCTCCTCGATCTTCTTTCCCTATTAAGCTTATCCAATGTAACAATATAGTAGCAGGAAACAGCAACATTGATGTACAGTATGTTCAACCTGTAAGTTTACTTCTATAGTTGTCCATTTGAGTGATTTCTGCTGTAGATCTCATATATATTTGGTCTTTGATTCTTTTACGTACCATCTAATTCTTTTTTGGTACCTATATATGCGTAGGGATTCGGATATGCGGGGAACAGAACAGTGCCAACTAGGTATACTAGTCAGTATCATCAACTTCCAGCTGGGACTGGTTATATGCATCCTAACTCAGAAAATGTATGCAACCATAGTGATTATTTCCTTACCTCTAACTTTAATTAATCTAGCTTTTGTTTGGGAAGTATTGGTCGTTATTGTATATGGTGTATGATACATCCAATGTGTATAGTCTCATTTACTTAGAGAGCCGGTAGCTTTCACTTTTTCCTGCTTGTATTGTGTTTACTAGGGCCCCTTTAGATCCCAGAAAATGTTAATAGAACGAAAATAGAGGGGGTTCTAGGGGAAATTTGAAATAAAATGTGGGGAGAAGTAAAATTGGTCCAAATTCAATTTAGATATTTGTCCAAACTCAATTTTATTTATACATTTCTGTTATATAAAGATCAAAATCTATTCACTCTGTCTCAAAATGAAGTTTATGGCTTAAGTGTTGAAAAGTAAAAGGTTTGGTTGAATTTTTTTTGGAAAAGAGGGAAATGTTGTGAGCCACACATTATTTTCCTATGAAAGTAAGGAAGTGCAATCTTTGTTTTCGGATATTCTAAAAAGAAAGTGTAAACTTCATTCTGGGACGGAGGGAGTATATCACAATTTTTTATAAATCAAATTTTATTCTCATTCATATTTTCCGAGATACACCTAACACAAAAAACTATTTCCTGTAAGAGTGTGTATGTAGCTTTTAATCATTTTTTGACATGCAATGATATTCTTGTAGGTAATGGTCGGACGATTGGGGCCAGTTGTGTATGTGCATCCTGTTTCTCATGTAAGACATTCTGAAAATCTAGACATTGTCAGAAAAACATATTCTTTTCTTTATCTTAGGTTTTTTTTGTATTATTTAATGTTTATTTACTGGTTCCTCTGTGTTTATGTCTTAGGGTGTTGTGCAGAATGCACCAGTGCTCTCTCAAGTACCCTCATGTCCTTTGTTAAATCCCTTTCAGGCCCATTTGACTAAACATCAAGGTATATAATCTAAGATTCATACAAATCTACTGACCATGTGATCTAGGATCAACTCTTGTTTGTTGTGGACTACTAATCCAAATCTACGTGTTTTTTAAAAGTTTTTGCAATTCACATATGTTACTCCAAGTTTGGGACATTGGATGGTGGCACGTAAAATAAGAAAAAGTGGGATTGTGTGGTTGATATTAATTGTATGAAATGTGGAAAAAGGATGATTTTGGACCAACCAAATATCACAAATATGGACTGGGACGGACCAAAATAGAAACGAGGCATAGTGGGACATAGGGAGCAGTTATTGCGCCTTCAGAGTTCAGGTTCATTATATATTTATATGTGCTGTTTTGGATGGGTTTTTTTGGTTCACAAGTTGGGTGGTTGAATAAAATCAAGAAAGTATTTAATGCTAGTTTTTTTCATTTTTGCCCCTTCTCTTGGACTCCCATGCAAGTTCATCTTGAATGATGAATAGACCTTAATAAGGGGTAGTGCTGTGAAGATTTTCTACATTGATAACATCTAAGTAATACCCATTACAACTACAACAACACAGTATAATCTCAACTCTTTTGGGGCTTGGGGGCCACTATTATGCAGTTTTATCCTTGTTAAAACAGAGTGACTGTTTCTGTTTAACCTTAAATATATAACTGCATTTACTACCCAAAACTTCAAATAATGTAAGAAGCAAGGGAAGTTAAATGTTCCATATTGATTTAGTCCATTATGTGCCTGAAACTAAACATTGTCAATAATGACATTTTTAGCTCCTTTGGCAATGCACAAATACGTAGTAAGTAGTACTCCTGTCCTACAGAAAAAGTCACAACCTTTTACTTTGGCAGAGTAACATTGCCATTCAGACCAAAAACAGAACATTCTTTTTTTTTTTGGACAGAGGGAGTTTTTTTTTGTTGCTTAAGTTGTTTGAGTTATTATTTCAGTTGCCCATGTAATGAACACAAATCTCATGCTGCAGGAAATGCTGTGACACAAACATTGCCACTCTGTGTGGCTCCTCCATACATAGCGGCCACACAGCAAGCATATACAATACCAAGTCAAGTTCCACTCTCACACCCTTCATTTCCCGTAATCCGCCCGATGCAAGTTCCGTGGTCCAATGGTTATTTCGGCCCGAAATATGCATGATGTCAGCACCGACATCACCATTGGCCGCGTTTTTTTGTTCAAATCCGGCAAGTTTTGGCGCTTTGATTTGATTGTTACGACTTACCCCCATTCATTTTCAATGCTTTTATGGACCATCATTTTTTAAATGTGAGATTGAACATTGTAAATTGAATTTTGGCCATGGTGTGATTGTGTAAACTTCCAGTGTTTTTCCCCCAAACATAGAGAAGGATTATAGAGGTGAGAGATGGGTTTCAGTTTTGAAATGCATAGAAAGATAGCTTCATTTTTCTGCTTTTTTTCATTGAAATGGCTAAGTCATCGACTCATCGTTCTGTTCAACTTATTTTTTCTGCTTAATACTTGTTCTTATTATAATCAGATCAGAAACAGCTTTAATTATAACTGTAATCAAACAAGATCAGATAAAAAATCAGATCAGATCATATCAGGTGAACGGAGTGCAGCCTAAAAGGCCATCAATAACAAGAAGTATTGTCTCCCATTTGAATGGTGGATTTAAACTTTTAAGTTACCATTATGACTTGTTTGGCAAAAATAGATAGCAATTGTCAGCTGATCGTTTATATTAGCATGTCTTATTAGCAATTTCTAATACACACGGAGTGATACTTTTGCAATTACAGAGACTCGAGAGTAACATTTTTAACAGAGCAAATTAGACATATTTATAGAGTTTCCCAAAACATTACCATGAGTATCGACAAAAAAACATTATTATCTCAATAAAATTTTTTCAGATGTGTTTGAATTAAGTTATTCTCAATTTTTAATTTATTTAAGAGTAGGTGTGGAATTTAAAAATAACATTTTTTTATATTTAAAAGCTATGGTCTTGCTGGATTCTATTGAGTTTGTTGTTGCAGAGATCTAAAATTAGTACATGTATTTTAAAACTCATTGGTTTTTAAATTAAATAGAATTGTCTCCAATGCTGCCGCAACTTTGTCCCCAACACTTTGTTTCCTTCGAGAGAAAAAAAAACAACATATGTAGAGGCACACTAAAGTGAAGAGTTTCAAGATGTAATTTATACAACATCAACAAACTCTAAATCCACAAGTCAACAACATATCAACTAGCAGAGTTTTTCAGTCTCTCTTTTTTGTCCTCCAAGTACAAGAGACTGCTTACACATTTTTATGGGTATGGGTATTATCAACAAACACTCTGGGAATACCTTTCTTCTTGGCTTTTGTCTCTGGGAATTTCATTACATCAGGACTTGTTTTTCAGGCCAGCAGCTGAGTCAGACTCGTGCTCTTTGTTCCCTACCATTTTCTCCTGCATAACCTTCATAATAAAGCATTATATTTTAGCAAGCCATTTGGATGCAAGCCAGAATGAAAAATATGTATTATCCGTTTATGGATAATTGCTTAGGGAATATCTGCTTGAGGACCCGAAAGATCGGTTATCGATCTATCCAATCAATCCAAGAATTTGAGATGAAAAGTATCAATTTAAGACCAAAATGATTTAGACTATCAATCTAATTAAAAAAGGGAAATTTACGTAAACAGCACTAAAACATAATGACTTTCCCTAAATAGCATTACATGTGTTTTTTTCCAATGTAACACTTTTAGTCATTATCCATTAGTCATTATTCAAGTAAATATTCGCCATCACTGGTCATTATGGACATTATTAAGTGCTATTTAAGGAATAAAACAATTTAAGTGCTATTTAGAGAAATGACTTAAGTTTTAGTGCTATTTACTCATAGTGCAAATATTTCATTAAAAAAATGATTTATGAGTATCTTAACTATACTCCATTCTTTATTACATTTGATATACTATGTATAATCTGTGAAGGAATTTTCATAGAAAGTTAACACTAAATGTAATTTAAAACAAAAAGAGTTCAATATTCATGATTATTTTTTTTGTAATAAATTGGTAGTTTCTATAATTCAAAAGCTAAATTGATAGTTTTCATCTTTGTATATACTTAATTGTGAGATTACACTATCTTTCAATGGTTCGATCCAGAAGTCATAAAAATGAAATGCATATTTACCTGTAAAAGCTTAGTCATATTGCCAGTGCCGTAATGGAGAAGAATTTTGGAATCTGAAACTTCAAGGGGTTCTGTTGATGGGCTCTCATTCATGTCCTTTTTTTCTCTTCTCACACTTGAACTTTGTGTTGGTTGGGTATATCCATGGCTTCTGTCAGAATCACCATTACGCATAATAACTTCATTGTTGCGAGATGCTAACGGGTTTGTCTCTTCCCCGGCTCTTCTTTGATTTTGCACATTTTCTACTCCATGGCTGCTGATCATGGATGTTGATCCATCAGGTGGTAACATAGCTAATGGTGCAAATATCTGCATGCTTTTCCCCTTTAAAGTTTCCACATTAGCCTGGGACATGTCCAACGGTTCTTGACCAGACCTTGCTGACCGGTTGGTTAGGTTGGCCGGTTGGAGCACAACAGGAACCACGGTTCCTCTGGCCCCCACAGGAGGGACAGAAGGAGCCAACACTATAGTAGACAACTGATTATCTTTTGACTCCTTGAACTCGGCCTTGTGTTTGTAACGCCTACGTCTACGTACTTTATCTCCAACAGGAAGATGGATTTCGTTTCTGTGTATCATCTCTACATGTGGGGCGATATCATTTTCTGATGTTATAGGGACATAATGTCCCGGTTTAAAGACAATGCCTCTAAGCTTGGTTTTGGAGTCTCCGATAGTAACACTGAGCAGAAACCCAGCATCAAATGAGGCTTCTATTATACCTGTAACTGCCTGACCTACCATTGTATCCACTTGATGAGCAGGGTTTTGAGTTATTCTTTCAATGCCAGGTGGAACTATAGGAGCATCCCTTCCATGACTTGGGCTCTGATCCTTCCTTGGTCTACCTCTTCGACGCTTCACAGGGAGAGCTAGTTGTAGCTGGGGACTGGAGTTGTCCATTTGAATAGCATTGCTCATTTCCAGAACTTAAGGAGAAAATAGTCAAAATAACCAGGCTTCCTTACTCCCTTGTAGACCCCTCAGAAACACTCTTAAGAGTTGAGAACAATCACTTCACTGTAAATCCTCCCCTCAGATACTAGTCAATACAGAGTACAAGAATAACCTCTGTTAATAATTAAAACCGAGTATAAAAAATCTGGTCCCAAGTTGTGCCAGTTATAATAAAAGACATAAACTCTGACTAGTACTAAAAAGTTATATGGGTACATTTTTTACATCCCACATTATGAAAGAGTTGGTAATATACAAGTTATATTATATTTTACATTTTTAATTGTTTATTACATTTGCACATTTCTTCTATTATGCATAAAAAAACATGGACATCTTATTGTGATTATTATTATTAACGTGATTTGTTAGCGGAGTTTGCATAAACTTCTTCATGGTTCTTATTGGCGATACGATTTAATTTGTACCAATATCTTTATTTAAGTATAACCTCTCAATTAAAATATGACCGCTTTGGTCCGAATCCTATCCATATTTAGATGGGTTTTAATGTATTTATAGATCTCTAGCAAGTCTATGCTCCATCTGGCATTGTACTACCTTAATTCCTACCAGTGATGAAAACTTGCACACCCATCTACATTCCAGATTTTCCTTCCCCAAAACTATCCAGGAATTAGAATCAAGGAACATCACAGGATGTGTTTTAACAATTTTAACCTGATTGTATTAACAGGTTGGACAAGTAAAAAAAAATCTAGCATACTATACATTTTAATGATCCAGTATCACAGCAGATAACACTTCTAAACAGAAGGAAACCCTCAGCATTGCAATCATCTACTACGTAGTACTACTTATTTAAGACGGGTCTCTAACTTCAAAGCTGAAATTGCTCGTAGCAGAAGAAACAAAGGCGGACAATATTTTAAACGCCAAAAAAAATCATAATCGTTATGTTAATATATCAACATTTTCTCCCTACAATTAGTAAGAAAAACAGCCAAATTCATCACCAACACACAGAGGCACGAGTGTAAACAAAGTAACAAAACTTTCTCCACAAAACCAGTATTGAAAAAAAAACAGCCAAGCTTTCAATACCAGCTTCAAGGAAAACACTAAAAGCTCAGCTCAGTACATATCTGCTCGATTGGAGCCAATCAGCAACAGGCATTGTTTTTCATGCATATCAAACAGCGCAAAGAGTTCTAACATATAAACTAAATGAAAATTTTAGAGAACCAAAAAAATAAACAGTCGAAGGCCAATGAGATAGATTGAAGCTTGGGCACACCTTCGAAGTGAGAAATGGAGAAGTTTACCGCAGCGAACCGCGATTTAGCTATACCGGAGAACTGGAAACCCTAGATTTCTTCCCGGGGGACGGAGATGCGTAGAATTGAAGGGTTTGAAAATGGAGATTACAGAGAGCGAGAGCTCAGAAAGATTGTTGCTATTAACGACGACATTTAATTTACAATCTGTCAACTCTTTACAAGGGGCTGGAAGAAGTCGATTAATTAATACTGTACTCGGGTGATTATTACGGAGTACTCCGTAATTAACCGCATTATTTTACGGAGCTAATTACTCCTAGATCACTTGTACTCGAGCAGAGATGACTGAACCCGAGGACCGAATGGGTCGGATTGGTTCGATCCTCTAAAAGTCGTCCGGATTTTTTTTCCCATTTAACTTTTTTGGTCAATAAAAATTACAAATTTTACTGTCCTATTTTACTGTACTCGGGTCGATGTGCAAAAACTTTTCTCATTTTTTCAATAAAGAAATCACTCTGTACAGAAGTAAAAAAAATAAACATATCAAAATAAGAGTTTTAAGCCTTTTAAGACTAAAATATGAGTATAATAGAAGTGTGATAGAAAACTGATGACAATGTTATATGACAGTGTGATCCCTTAATTATCAGAAGTCGTCCGCGACACTCTAGCTAGTTGTGACAAATGACAGTGTGACAATAATAGTGTGACAGTTTCAATGTAAAAATATGATGACTGTGATTGGATCCATCTTATAATATAATTTTGAGTAATTTCCTAATATACTTTAATTTGTTTTACCTAATGCTAGAAATTTTTGGACAAATCAAAGTTATTCTAATTTTGACTTTAATACTTCCTCCGTCCCAAAATGTATTTAAATTGTGACACTACTTTAACTTGTATTATGTACTTCCCCCGTTATTAAAAGTTATTCTAATTTTGACTTTTTTACTTCTTCCGTCTCAAAATGTTTGCTACATTTACTTTTTAAAAATGAGTAAATTCCATAAGAGGTCTCTAGTTGTAGGTCATTTTACATATTTAGTCCCTCAATATCAAATATTACTAATTTAGTCCTCAATTATTATATTCATTTCCACAAATGGTCCTTTGTTAACATTTCCGTTAAGAACGTGGATAGAATTGTAAACTCGCACTCCTTTATCTCCTCAATTAAACTTCTTCCCTCCCCTCGCACACCTTTCCCAAACTCGTCGCTGAGTTTGAAGCTTTGAACCCAAAACCGAAATCATCACTCTTCTCTCAATTGTTTGTCTAACTGGTGGAACCCAAATTCGAAACCAGTAACCTTCATGGATGAGTTTTAATGTTTGTTTTCTCTGCAATTTTTTGAGACTAACCGATAAAACTCATCCATAAAGCTTATTGGTTTTGATTTTAGATTCCACCAGGAAGACAAACAATTGGGAAAAGTAAAAAAGTCAGCGACGAGTTTGGGAAAGAGTACGAGAGGAGGGAGGAAGATTGGGGGGAGAGAAAAGTATGAATATACAATTTTATTCATGTTCTTAACAAAAATGTTAACAAAGGAACATTCGTGAAAAATGATATAATAATTGGGGACTACATTAGTAATATTTGATATGTAAGGACTAAATATGTAAAACGACCTATAATTAACTCGGGACCTTTTATCAAATTTAATCTTTAAGAAGTCATAGAAGCTTTTGCTTATTTTTATGTTTTCATTAGTTATTTGATAAAATAAAATATTCCTGACACCTCTTATTTCGAAGAATTTTTCATATAGTTTTTTGAATATGTAAATTTTATTTTTTATTTTTATACCAATATTTAAATAAAATGAATTGAAAAAACTTAATGTTTTGCCTCGTTTTTAAAAATGTAGTAAACATTTAGGGATGAAGAGAGTATGATTTAAGAAATGAAAAATTTTGGGTGCACTTTTCCAAATAACTATTGATGTGATAGGTAAAAATATGATACTTCGTCCGTCCCAAATTATTTGTCACATTTCTATTACCGAGGCAAAATATCAAGTTTTTTCAATTCATTTTATTTACATATTGGTAAAGAAATAAAAAATAAAAATTATATTTCAAAAAACTACATGAAAAGTTCTTCGAAATAAGAGGTGTCAAGAATATTTTATTTTATCAAATAACCATTGAAAACGCCGAAATAAACAAAAGTTCCCGCGACTACTGAAAAAGCAAATGTTGTGAATATTTAGGGACGGAGGGAGTATGATGAGTAGATTATTATTATTATTATAAAAAATGATGATTTAATAGATATGATAAGAATTTGATTATGGAACCCAAAAAAAAGAAAGGGAAATAGTCTGATGATGATGATGATAAGTTTAACGTGTTTAACTTAAGACCTCTTAGAGCAACTCCAATGGTAAGAGGTGTCTTGGAGAGGTACATATCTCATTTATCTCTCCACATGATCAAGTTTATCTTTCCAAATAGTGTGCAACTCCATTGGGGGAAGGTAAATCAAAAGGCAAAAGAGGGAAAAAATTCATCTCCATACATGATTGGGAAAAAATTCGTTGATTTACCTTTTTAAATCAAATTTTAATTATTAGAAAAGAAAATATACATTCTTAAAAAAATCATGGGGTGGTAAATTTGAGGTTTGTTGCCTTTGTTTCTTCTTGATTAAATTTTTAAATTTAAAGATTTTATAAAAATACAACTAATTTATTGGGAAAAAAAATAGAATGTCAGTTTTGAAATAGTTAAATATACATTATGTCTAATTACACATGTAAAACTATAAATACCCGAATAGAAAAAACTTAAAAATACAGAGTGCAAGATTAAAAAACAAAGTATTCTTTTTTTTGTCAATTCTTGACTCGTTAAGTTTTACAATGACAAAAATACAAATTAATAATTTATAATAATACATTCAAGCAAAAATACAATAACTAAAGTAATTGATGAAATAAATTTAAAAGGTGGGAAAAATTGATATACCTTCCCAAATGAAGAAGGTAAAGATACCTCTTCAAAATTGAAGAAGGTATAATACCTTCTTGTTTACCTCTCCCATTGGAGAATAATTTTTAATGAAAAGAGGTATATATCACAAATATTCATCTTTACCCTTTCATATATCCCTCCCATTGGAGTTGTTCTAAATAAACTAGTTATATCTTTCTCTAATTTTTGATGTGGATAAACTCTAACACTCATTCTTAAGTGGACAATCGAGTCATTTTGAATGAACCACGAATCGCCAAGTAGTGAACAATCGGGTTAAACAGGTCACAGACCATTGGGTATATTTGAAAGATGAAGGTGGGTAAAACTAATTTGGATATCATTATAGAATTTAAAATTGGACAGAGATAACTGATATGTGACATAAGATACTTGAACTGAAGCACATTAAAATATTAAGGCTTTGTTTGATACACAGAATTAAAGTCATTGAATTGAAAACTTCAATTCTAATTCCACTACTTCCTCCGTCCCGGAAAACATGAGAGTTTTGATTTTGAAGAGAGATTTAAGGAGAGTGAATTTTTTGTATTGAATTTCCAAAAATGTCCTTTGATGTGATGGGTAAAAGTATGATTTGATGGATAGATTATTAGTAAAAATGTATGATATGATAGGTAGGGTATGAAAAAAATAAGGGGTAAAAGTGACTTTTTAATAGAAATGAGAAGTGTTTTTTGGGACGGATGAAAAAAGAAAGGAGAAATGTTTTCAGGGACGGAGGGAGTATTTGGTAACACAAAAATATGTGGATTTAGAATCGGTAGTGGAAAAAGTCAATTGAAATGGGAGAATTCAGTTCAATCTAATTCAATTTTATTGAATTCAAATTCCAATTCAATTCCAATTACATCAGTACCAAACAAATCCTAAATCCAATCGTTAAACCAGTTCAATTTAAGATCTTATAAGCATGCTATAATTTTCTCAATTTTTCGATGTGGGATAAATTCTAGGAGAAACAATTCAAGAAGAGATCTCTGAAGCTATATAGAAAAAAACTTTATGGTGATAGAAGGCAAATGAAATGTGAGTGCCAAGAGAAGAAGAAGCAATTTCAAGACCAATTAAGAAACTCAAAGCTTAGCAATTAGATCATCATAATAATAAGATGGAGCTCAAAAGCACAGTCACAATGGAAGGGAAAACATTTGATTTGCCCTTCCATTGCAACATAAAAGAGACAAATAATAAATATAGATCAGATATAGAAGCAGCATAATGCATTAGCTTAGAGTTTCCCAATCAGGGAATAACAATAGTACAATTTAATTAAGCACAACACAGATGACATTAATTACTGCATGCCATATCTATATATATATATACACTCACCCCCAAATCTAGCTAATTGCAATCAATAATATGGAGAGTCACAATGGAAGTGAAAACATTTGATTTGCCCTTGCCATTGCAACATAAAAGAGACAAATAATAGATATAGATGAGATAGAGAGAAGCAGCATATAATGCCAGTAGCTTAGAGTTTTCGAATCATGGAACAACAATAGTAGTTATGTACAGTTTAATTAAGCACAACACAGATGACATTTATTATTGCAGGCCAAATCTAGCTAATTGCAATCAATACTAAAACTGCATGCAGTGCCATCAAGCCCATGATCACATTAATTAATA